AGACCCAGGAGTCAAAAAGGTGTCCCAGAAGAAGCAGAGAGCCCGCCCCCCCCGCTAAAAAACGGACAGCGATATGCCAAGGGTGAAGATTTTTTTTTTTACAGCGATCAGCTCTGGGTAGAGGATTGCTTTAAAAGTGTCCTTGCTGTTCAAATGTTTTGCTTTGAACCTATAAATCTGATGTTTCCAAAGCGTCAGGGGGGTCAGACTCCAGAGCCACAGGCAGCTGTGGGAAGATTTGATAAATAAAAGGAAGAGGACTTTGGATTTTTTTCCTCCTTGTATCTGGTTTGGGGTTCCCAAGGAGCAAGATTCAGTGGATGGTACCTATTGATCGGTTTGATTAACACCAGCCTCCTTATGCAAAGAGCTGGAGGCTGCGTGTAGGTGTTGTTGCATAAGAGGGGGCCACGCATCTAAAGGCCCGTCTTCCTCCCCTCCAGCAGGGACCCCAAACCCTCCAGACCTGCTAGTGAGTCTGCCGAATCTTCACCTCAAAACCTGGGAAATGTAGGAATAAGGTTCACTGTGTGGCAAGCAGGGAACATTGGCGCTCTCCTTGTTGCATAAACACCCAGTCTTAAAATCCGAAAATGACCAAATCGAAGAGATGGAGGGAGGAAAGTGTGGAGCTCCGTGACACCAAATAAAAGAGCCATATTTTGTAAATAGAAAGGGATATACATTTTGACACAAATCTTTACTAGGACACGGCAGGCGAGAGACCAACAACAGAAGCCGATCTCAAGGTGTGGATGGGGCTGAAATTGTACTTTAGGCAGACAGCCAATTCGTTGACTCCCCCCCTTGGACAGGTGGGGTGTAAATCTGCGCTTGTGAATTTGGGCTGGGAAGGAGTTCCAGATCAGAAGGGCCCAGCTCTCTAAAGGGGCAGTGCAGTGAGAAACACGCCCCTCTCTCCTGAGAACTTTGTGGGGGATTTTCACCGGAAGGGCGACTGGAAATCAGCAGAGCAGCAACAGCAGGGGGAAGGGGAGGG